TCCTTCCTTCCTTCCTTCCTTCCTTCCTTCCTTCCTTCCTTCCTTCCTTCAACAAGGTCTTATGTAGCTCAGGCTGGCCTCAAACTCACTATATGCCAAGACTGACCTTAAACTCCTGATCTTCCTGCCTCCACCTCCCTAGTTCTGGGATTTCAGGCATATGCCGCCACACCTGGCTTATATTTTATTTTTAGGTGTTTTGTTTTTTTTCTATTTTTTTCATTGAATTGTACATTTTATACAATATATTTTTGTTTTTGGTCTTTTTGAGACAGAGCCTCCCTATAGCCCCAGACAGCCTGGATCTCCCTATATAGACCAGGTTGGCCTTGAACTCACAGAGATCCGTCTGCTTCTGCTTCCCGAGTGCTGGGATTAAAGGTGTGTGCCACCACACCTGGCTATACAAGACATCTTAATCATATTTAGATCTATTTGCACTCCCCATAGCACCCCCCAGCCAGATTTCATGCATTCTGTCATGTATGTTAAGTACTAGAGAGTCAAATCTGTGTCTGCAGATCTCCTTTGGTGTGAGTTCATCCCCTCACTGGTCAACCTATCTAGTGTCACTCCCTTAAAGACTTTTTTTTTCTTTTGAGACAGGGTTTCCTGTAACCCCAGCTGGCCTGGAACTCAGTGTAGACCAGGCTGACCTCAATCTCACAGAGATCTTCCTGCCTCTGTTTCCCAGGTGCTGGGATTAAAGGCGTGCACATGCCACCATGCCCAGCTTGGTTTACAATTTAAATGCCATAACCAGCAGGTACTGTCAAGATCCCCTGTTATATGGCTCAAAAAGTTGAGTGACTTTAAAAAAATACTTTATTTATAGCTGGGTGTAGTGGCACACGCCTTTAATCCCAGCACTTGGGAGGCAGAGACAGGCGGATCCTTTGTGAGTTCGAGGCCAGCCTGGTCTACAGAGTGAGTTCCAGGCCAGCTGGGGCTACAGGGAGACCCTGTCTCAAAAAGACCAAAAAAAAAAAAACCCCAAAAAACCTTTATTTATTATTTTATTTTATGTGTATGATTGTATTGCCTGCATGTATGTAAGTGTACCTGTGTTTTGGAATGCCTGTGGAGGTCAGAAGAAGGTGTCAGATTCCCCTGGAACTGGAGTTACAGATGGTTGTTAGCCATCATGTGGGTCCTGGAACCAATCCCTGGTCCTCTACAAGAGTAACCAGTGCTCTTAACTCTTCAGCCCAGGTTGAGTGACTTTTATAAGGTCACACAGGTCGTCTACCCATGACAGAGCAAGCCCTCTGATTTTCTTTTTAACCATTCCCTGCTGAGAGAGAAATGAAATGATGTAACCCCAGCCCTCCTTTTCTGAAGCATAGTAGCCCCTGGGGTAGATCCAGGCTTGAGTCTGTGTTCTGTTGTTTACTGGCTTTGTGGTCCTATGGGATTCAGTTTTCCTCTGTGGCTTGAGGAGTAAATGGGTGAACATCTTGCTCAACTCAGAACAGACTTGGAGACAAAGGTGGGGCAGGTGGTGGGCAGTGCCAGGCCGGTGGGGAGGGAGACTCAAGTACTGCTGTCCTGCCTCCTCCAGGCATCCTGCCTCTGCTGCTCTGCCCCCTGCGTCCTATGCACCTGCTGCCCCTCCACCCGAAACTCCACGGTGAGCCGCCTCCTCTTCACCAGCTTTCTCTTCCTGGGGGTGCTGGTGTCCATCATCATGCTGAGCCCTGGCGTGGAGAGTCAGCTCTACAAGGTGAGTTTGTTAGGGATGTGGCTGGGAAGGGCCAGGCTCCCAGCCCTCCACAGTCCAGGTGAGGTGGCAGAAGTTCCATAGTGCTGATGGTCTGCAGGGGGCTGAGGTCAGAGGGGGGCCTGAGCCTCCTCTGGGATTCCTGTGTCTCAGGAGTCGGGCTCCCCTGGGAGAATCCAAGTTGTCATTACTGCCATTACACGCCAGCCCCAGAGAGTGCTTCTCCCCTTGAATGCGAAAGCCAAGGTGGGAATCCTGACTTCCTCCCAGCCCTTAGGCCCAGACTTCAACATCTTGGCCTGTGCAGAGTTGTGCATCCCTGCAGAGTAGGTGGAGATGCTGATGCAGGTGGGAGGGAGACAGTTCACTGGAGAACTGCTGCTTGGTGCAGTGCAATGCTGAGACCTGGGGTGACAACAGGGAAACAGACAGCTAGGTGGGAGCTGTGATGAACCAGGCAGGAGTCTTGGGGAGCCCCTCTTAGGGCTTGGCCCTGGGGTGGGAAGCAGGCAGAGGCTATGGAGATAGAGGCAGGCTCAGCTCTGCTGGGAGTCAAGGGTTCTGGGTGAGTGGGGCCCTCAAACCGCCCTGTTGTGTTCACAGCTCCCTTGGGTGTGTGAGGACAGGACCCAGACCCCAGTGGTACTGCAGGGCCCCCTGGACTGTGGCTCGCTGCTGGGCTTCCGGGCCGTCTACCGTATGTGTTTCGCCACAGCAGCCTTTTTCTTCCTGTTCACTTTGCTGATGATCTGCGTTCGCAGTAGCCGGGACCCCCGAGCTGCCATCCAGAATGGGTAAGGACGACCCTCGGCACCCTGGCACACTCCCCAGGGGCTTTTCTCCTCCTTGCCTGTCTCCAGAGATCTCGACCTGCCCTGAGAGGAAGGAGCCCAGAAACCACGGGGATACACGCAGGACAGTTAAACTCATCTTCTTTTTGAATTTTTTTTTTTTTTTTGGTCTTTTTGAAGCAGGGTCTCCTTGTATCCCCAGTTGTCCTGGAGCTCACTGTGTAGACCAGGCTGGCCTTGAACTCACAGAGATCCGCCTGCCTCTGCCTCCCGAGTGCTGGGACTACAGGCAAGCACCACCACGCAGGGCAACTCATCATCTTTTTATTCTTTTGCTTGTGTGTGCACATGTATGTGGAAGCCAGAGAGCTTTTTTGGTTTGGGGGTTTTTTGTTTTTTTTGGTTTTTTTCGGTCTTTTTGAGACAGGGTCTCCCCGTAGCCACAGCTGGCCTAGAACTCACTATGTAGACCAGGCTGGCCTTGAACTCACAGAGATCTGCCTGCCTCTGCCTCCAGAGTCCTGGGATTAAAGGTATGCGCCATAACACCCTACTAGAGATCTCCCTTTAAAGAAAGGCTCTCTCATCTGGGGCTTCCAGATTAGACTAGTCTCTCTGGCCAGGGAACTCCAGGGATCTCTGCCTCACCAGCACTGAGATTACAAATGCATTATCACATGACTTTTTACATCGGTGCTGGGGATTGAACTCTCTTGAATGGCAAGCACTTTATTGACTCAGTCATTTCTCTAGCCCCTATCATAAAATGAGGAAAGATAGTTCAGGGAGGGCAGCAGTGTAACTGAGGTCACACAGCAAGCCCACTGCCTGGTTCTCTCCTCCGCCCTGAACTCTCCCTGTGCGCATCAGACCATGAGGAAGTCTCTTCTCTCCCAGGACTTGCTCCTTGGGGTAGGGACTCTGAGCCGGGTCTGTTCTGTATCCCTGCCCCCACTCAGATTCCCATCTGCCCCTCCCACAGGTTTTGGTTCTTTAAGTTCCTGATCCTCCTGGGTATCACTGTGGGTGCCTTCTACATCCCTGATGGCTCCTTTCCCAAGAGTAAGTGGCTCAGGGAACAGTGAAGGGAAGGACAGCAGGAAGGGGGTGAGGTGGGAGCTTTGGGTGGAACAGCGTGGGGGGCTGCTCTTTGCCTCGGTATGTTGACTCGAGGTGCTGATTGGTTCTTGCTATTCTTCTTCACCATACGGCACCCTGGGACTGGCTTCAAGGCCTTAGGGCAACTTGGGGTGGGGGACCCATCTAGCCTGAGCTGTACCCTTGCACAGGCTCTGTTTCTACTTCTGTCCTCCATGAAATGTGGCATAAGAGATTGTTGAGTGAATATATGTGTGAGAGGGACACTCCATGAGGCTCTACCTGATGCCCAGGGAGCTGCGGCCCCTCTGTCACCTGGACTCACTGCCCTTCCTGCCCTCTCTCCACAGTCTGGTTCTACTTTGGTGTGGTGGGTTCCTTCCTCTTCATCCTCATCCAGCTGATCTTGTTCATCGACTTTGCCCACTCCTGGAACCAGCGGTGGCTGTGTAAGGCTGAGGAGTGTGACTCCCCAGCCTGGTATGCAGGTCAGTGCCTCCCTGGCCTCCACACTGGGGGGCTGGCCGCTTGAGGAATTGGGATCTGGAGTGGATGACATTTGGAGATGGAAGGAGGAAGAGACTGATCTTGGGGAACTGCCTGAGAGGCTGTGAGGGGCTGAAGTCAGCTGCTCCTGCAGGGCAGGCCACACGGAGCGGGCAATATTTAAAGCCCTTTTTTGGCAGTGTCTGGACCACACTTGAGGTGATGTCTAGTCATTGAAACCCCAGCAGCAGAATGAGCCCTGCTGAATCTCTCCTGGATCTTGTGACTAAGTCCATAAGAAAGCCTTGGTTGCTACATGCTGGCCTTCATACCTCTCTGAACTTGCTCATCTCTCTCCAACTACCAGTGCCTCATGCAAATTTAATTACACTGTTGTTTTGTGAGCAAATGAGTGAAAATATTAATATCTACTAATGGCAACTCAATAATTTAGTATATTTTTTTAAGTTGCTGGGGAATGAACCCAGGGCTGTGAGCATGCTAGGATAGCACTCACCGCTGAGCTACATCTCTACCCTCTTTTTACTTTTTTTTTTTTTTTTTTTTTTTTTGTCTTTTTGAGACAGGGTCTCCCTGTAGCCCCAGCTGTCCTGGAACTCACTATGTAGACCAGGTTGGCCTCAAACTCACAGAGATCCACCTGCCTCTGCCTCCCAAGTGCTGGGATTAAAGGCGTGCGCCACCACGCCGGGCCTTCATTTTACTTTTTATTTTGAGATAGAGTCTCACTAAGTTGCTTGGGCTGACCTGGAACTCACTGTAGCCCAGAAAAGCCTTAAACATGTGATCTTCCTGTTTCAACCTCCTGAATAGCTGGATTA